GGGGAAGAAAATGTGGTTTAAACCTCAGTTTGAACACTTCATTTAGTTTTAAAGAGCAGAAAAGGAGTTTTAAACCTCAGTTTGAACAATTTCTTTAGTTTTAAAGAGTAGAAAAGGAGTTTTAAACTTCAGTTTGAACACTTTCTGAATAGTGAAACAATGTTTAAAGCCTCTTTTTGAACAATTTCTTTAATTTAAAAGAGCAGAAACTGTGTTATAAACCTCAGTTTGAACTATTTTTATTCAGTTTTAAAGAGCAGAAAAGTAGTTTTAAACCTCAATTTGAACAATTTCTTTAGTTTTAAAGAGCAGAAAAGGAGTTTTAAACCTCAATTTGAACAATTTATTTAGTTTTAAGGAGCAGAAACTGTGTTTTAAACTTAATTTTGAACTCTTCCTTTAGTTTTAAAGAGCAGAAAATGTGTTTTAAACCTCATTTTGAACAATTTCTTTAGTTTTAAGCAAAAGAAAAGGAGTTTAAGCTTCAGTTTGAGCACTTTCTGTCGTTTTAAGAAGTGAAACAGTGTTTAAAGCCTCGTTTTGAACAATTTCTTTTATTTTAAAGAGCAGAAACTGCGTTTTAAACCTCATTTTGACCACTTTCTTTAGTTTTTAAGTGACAGAAAAGGAGCAGAAAACCTTCCCCTCTTAACCCCCCCCCCCCATCTCTCTCTCTGATCTGGTCCTCCGGCTCCTCATTGGCTGGAGCCCTCGGCCAATCAGGCGCCGGGTGGCTTTGGCCCTGGCCCCTCAGGTGGTCCCATCACACATGTGTTTGTCCCGCCGACATCTGGGCTTAAAACCTTGTTGGTTCCTTCAGACCGGCACTCTGGGAGGAATCTGAGAAGGGAGTCCCCGAAAAACCCGAAAAACCCCACAGAACCAGAGGACCAAACCCGAAAAGACCCGAAACGAGCCGAGGAACAGACCCGTCAGGAACAGCCTCAGGTGAGACGCCTAACGGGACTAAAAGGGACATAAAAGGATCAAAAAGGGACTAAAAAGGGACCAAAAGTGGACAGAAAGGATCAAAAAGGGACAGAAAAGGAGCAAAAAAAAGGACAAAAAGGATAAAAAAGGGACTAAAAAGGGACCAAAAGTGGACAGAAAGGATAAAAAAGGGACAGAAAAGGAGCAAAAGTGGACAAAAAGGATCAAAAAGGGCAAGAAAAGGAGCAAAAAAAAGGACAAAAAGGATCAAAAAGGGATAAAAAAAGGGACCAAAAGTGGACAGAAAGGATCAAAAAGGGATCAAAAAGGGACAGAAAAGGCCAAAAATGGACAAAAAGGGACAAAAAGGACAAAAAAGGAACAAAAAAGGACAATTAGGGTTAAAAAAAAAGGCCAAAAAGGGACTAAAAAAAGGCCATAAAGGGACCAAAAAGGCCAATAAGGGCCAAATAAATGACAAAAAGGGACATAAAAGGGACAAAAAGGGACCAAAAAAGGATAAAAAAGGACACAAAAGGCCAAAAAGGGAAAAAAAAAACGTGAAAAGGTATTTTCCAGGTTTCCAGGTAGTTTCCAGGTAGTTTCCAGGTAGTTTCCAGGTCTCCAGGTGGAAGAGCAGCTGGTTCTGTGTTTCTAAAGGAAAGCAGAGGATAAGACAAGAACCCAAACCTCACCTGGAGGGTTTCAGTCTGTAAACACTTCAGTTTTAAGGAGTGAAAAGGAATTTTAAAAACCTCAGTTTGAACACTTTCTTTAGTTTTTAAGGGGCAGAAAATGTGGTTAAAACTTCACTTTGAACACTTTATTTAGCCCTTTAAAGCCTGATCCAAGAATAAAACAAAACAGACAATTACTTTTTTTTTGTTGTTTGAATTCCTTATTTGGCCTTTTAACAAAATATGTAAGAAGAAAAAACTGAAATACATTTTTTATATTAATAATTTATTACTATGCGATAAGTCAAGATAATTTTTTGTGTATTCTTCTGCCCCCTGTTATCAGGTGTATCTGATTGTGTACAATAGGAT